GGTGGCCAGCGAGACTCCGGGATGTGCTGCAGGCCCCTTGCAGGCTGGCCCTCCGTTCTCCATCCAGGCCCCAGAATTGTGCAGCCGTGCTGGCTACCCTGCAGCAGCGGCGCGAAATTAAACCACTGGCCAGCCTGCAAGCTGCTCACCAGTACGCTGCTCCCGGGCGCTTGCTGCAGGCTGGCTGCGGACTCACGTTCACACCCCACTCCCAGGAGGCTGTGGCTCTTTAACGAGCTCTGGGCAGGCGGGGTGGGGCCTCTGCTCCCCGACTCCTAAAGTCGCTCGGCTGGGCACTCTGCTCTGGAGGTGTGGGAGGCCCTGCCTGCATGCCAAGATCAGCCCTGCTCACTTGTCCTCAGCCAGGTGTCTTCTGCCTTAGTTGGCTGGGGGCCATATTTGTGGTGGAAGAACAGCCAGACGGGGTCAGACCAAAGGTCCATCGCCCTGGGTCCTGTCTGCCCACCGTGGCAGGTGCCCAAAGGGAATGAACAGAACTGGTCATCGTCAAGTGATCCTTCCCCAGAGGATGGGGCCAGCGGATCAGAACTGGGCTAGGCCCAGCCCAATCCGTCTGGTGACAGTCCTGCTGCCTGGAACAGGCCCCAGTCTGCATTTGGGTTGGTGGTGTAGATGGGCCCTACACGGCTGAGTTAACCCAGGCTCTTACCTGGGTGGTACCTCAACCCCCCCGTCCACACATCCAGCCCTGTCCCCTGAGTTTGGTGGTGCTCTCAGTCCGGGCTAGCTGGCTAAATCCCTCAGTGCTAGTCCTCCAGCACCTTCCCATAATTTCCCCGTGTGCCCAGGAGGACAGACACAGTCTCCCACAACTGGGGAAAAACTCCTAGAGCAGCTCCCTGCAGCACAGAGCACCTAGGAAGTGCCCCCGAGGTCCTAGTGACACCCAGGGGAGTGACGTGCTGGCTCAGACGCTGCTCGCCCTGGCCAGGCTCAGAGCTGGAGGCTAGTCTCCTGTTACTCTGCAGTGAAGCCCTGTGCCATGAGGTGTAGCAGGCGTCTCCAGGGTTACTACACCCCCTGCCATCCTGTCCTGAGCCCACAGATGTCCTGAGGGGCTGAGGGTTGCTTGCTCCCTGGGTGCCTGGAGCTCGGGAAGGTGAGGCCGTGCACGGTAGAGAGCGGGGCCCTGGCAGAAGGGGGCCATGCTCTGCGTGGGTAGGGATAGGAGCCCCACTCCCTCCTGGCCAATCCTGCAGAGATGCGGAGCAGCACAGCTGATTTGGGCTCCTGGGCCCGGGCGAGGGTATAATTGTAGTGCGGATGTTTGGGCCGTAGGTCCCGGAACGCTGAGCCCCAGCATCTGCATAGCAGCAACTTAGCCGCTTAGCCCAAGCCTGGCCAACGCCAGCCATCCATTGTCAGCCGGGGGCTCACCTTTCCGGCTTGCCACGAGACGTGTGCTGGCTCCGCACGGCCTTGCCGCAGGCCCGGCCTGCCTTGGACAGTTCGTTTTGCAAAGAAATGATGGAATTCGCTCTGACGTCGACTGTGACCGGCCCTCGGGGAGCAGCTAAGAGTCGTTTGCCCGGCCCCCAGCATCTCCTTGTGGTGGGGGCGCCCTCTCGCTCCGGGCCACGTGTTGCTGAGCCCTCTCTGCTGGCGTGGCCCGCGCCAGAGGCACTAGCGTGACGCACTGGGCTGAGGGGTTCAGATCCCATCACAGCACCTGTGCAGGGCTGTTAGCGGGCAGAGCAGAGCCCAGATGACTGTGCCAAGGTCGGGGCCTGCCACTTGCCTGCGGCACCTGCTAGCCTGGTCGCAGGGAGCTGCAGCTGAGCACGAGGTTAGTGTGGGGGGTGTACGGTAGGGGCTCTGCACTGCAGGGACATGTGGCAGCATCCGTCCTTCCCTGGGGATGACCACCTGACAAAGCCCTGGCCGGGTTGATTTAATTGGGATTGTCCTGCCTAGGGCAGGGGGCTGGACTTGACCTCCTGAGGTCTCTTCCAGCTCTATGGTTCTATGATCTGTGCACTGCTGCTTGGAACTGCCTGTCCCGCCCCCAGCGCCAGCCCCGCTCAATAGGGCTTTTCAGCGCGTGGTCCACAGAGCCCTGGCCCTCCATGGACTAAGATTTCCAAAGGGTCTGTGCCTCCATTCGGAATTTCGTAGGGGTCTGGCCAACTCCTGGGCTCGCGCTCTGGCTTGGCTGAGCACCACTCCAAGGGGCAGTGGCCTGAGAGCTCTGGATAATCTCCCAGCGCTGCCACCGACCCTCAGACTGGGGGTGTCCTCCAGCCTTGCAGGGGGCCCTGCCTCTCTGGGGGAGGGGGAGAGTGGGAGCCCAGATTCCCCAGTGTCTGCGGGGATGGGGGCGCACGCTGGAGCCCACTGCTCCCGCGCCCACATTCTGCATCACCTAAGCCAGTAACGTCAGTGGCTTAAACGTTCCCCTCGTGCAGGAGCTGCCATGCCTGTCGCACAAGCGCCTTCCCCCCATTCTGCCGGGTCTGTCTGGGTCGTAACTCCGTGTCCCGGTGAGGGGGTTAGTCGCTGATCTCCGCTCGTGGCGTTAGACTTATTTTCTTACTGGCGCTCTGTCACTAGCGCTCCGTTTCAGTGAGCGGTCGCTCTCCCGTGGGGCTGCAGCGAGAGCTGGTTTTTGTAAGCACCTCCGTGTCGCGGCACTTCAGCTCCCGCCTGCCATCCTCAGACTGGGGAGATGTTTTGTGCAAATAAAAAGGGGTAGCCCCTGGCTGCAGCAGGGACACCGAGAAGGAGCTTAGCCCCTGGCTGCAGCAGGGACACCGAGAAGGAGCTTAGCCCCTGGCTGCAGCAGGGACACCGAGAAGGAGCTTAGCCCCTGGCTGCAGCAGGGACACCGAGAAGGAGCTTAGCCCCTGGCTGCAGCAGGGACACCGAGAAGGAGCTTAGCCCCGGCTGTCTCCTCCGTGCAGTGGATGTGGGATGTGAGGGCCTGCTCTGGATTAGTCACGGAACCATCCCTTTGGGTGGGAAGAGACCTCAGGACGCACCCAGGCCAGCCCCTGCGCAAAGCAGGGCCATGCGGGGGAGCTGCGGCGAGTAAATGTTGCTCAGGCTTCCCTGGCAGACGGACCCCGTCTAAGTGCCTGTCCTGGTGGTGCAGTGTGTGGAGCCTGCACGTTTCTGATCAATGCAGCTCAACTCCCACAGCAGGAGAGAGGTTTTATTTTCTGCCCAAACTCCCACTGGCCTCTCAAAGTCAAGCTGGGTTTCCCCAGCAGCCCGCCCAGGAATGGGGGGGGAGCCTGTAGGAGATGGGGCAGAAGATGGAGCAGAGCCTTGGCCTGCGGCGCTAAGGACTAGGTGGTGGCAGCCACGGCAGCAGGCATGGCATGAAGACGCTGCAAGGGGCAGGTGCAGAGCGCAGCCGTGGGCGAGGTTTGCTTCCATTAACACCCCCGGAACTCCGAGTTCTCGCCCCGATCTCCTTGTCTTGGCTTTTGCCAAGAGCTTAGCTGCTGCTCTCCCATCCGAGGAAACCGCCCAGCGCTGGACTGGAGGTGCTGCCTTCGGGACGGATCAGCTTCCACCATGGCTCTGAGGTGAAAAGCCATGGAAAAGTCGCACAGAGCCCCGTGTGGGAGGGGCTGTGACCCGCAAACCTCGTTCCCCCAAAGCGATCGCTCCCACACACTGCTAACCCTGGCCCAGGGGCCCGCAGAGACCGAGTGCTGGAGCGGCGGCTTCTGCTTAGGGGCGTCGGCTCCTGGGCAGTGGGGGACCAGCCGTCTCTCCAGAGCTTGGCTGCGGTGCCCTCGGGAGCCTGGCTCTTTGTTCGGCTCCAGTTTTCTGAGGCTGCTGCTGCCTTTGGGTGACCAGAGGCGTGTGTGTGTAGATGCTAAACGTGCTGGTTCCCTCGCTGCCAGTGGCCCCTTGTCACTGCCCAGGAAGGTGCCGTGTTCATAGGGCCTCTCCCCTGAGGTAAAGTCCCGCTGGCCCTTGGCTGACAGCCGCGGGGGTGGAGTGGCCAAAGCCCTGGGTCCCTGGTTGCCTTAGCCCAGCTGCCTGTGGGGCTGTAGCACTTGCGAGCCCTCCCAGCCTGTGGGCCCTGCAGCTTGGAGCCGGGCCTGCGTGCAGGGCAGCTCATCTGACGCGCCTCGAATTACCTGTGCGCCAGGGATCAGATTCGCCGGGCCAGGAGCCATCTATAATTCAGCAGGGGCAGCTGCCGTTGTGGCCCTGGAAGCAGGGCAGCAGGATGCTGCAGCGACCAGGCCGGCGGAGCAGGAAGGCAGGCGAGGAGGAGGAGGAGAAGCCCATGGAGAACGGGGAGTCCCCGGAGCAGGGGGCCACGGAGACCTCGCCTGAGGGGGGACGCGCTGGAGAGAGCAGTCCTGCTTCCCTCTCGCAGCCAACCCCGCGGGTCCGGCCCAGGCTGGTCTTCCACACGCAGCTTGCCCACGGCAGCCCCACAGGCAAGATCGAGGGCTTCACCAATGTGAAGGAGCTGTATGCCAAAATCGCCGAGGTCTTCGACATCTCTCCCACCGAGGTGAGGTGGGGGCGGGGCGGCAGCTAGCTCCGAGCGCCGAGGCAGCTGCTTGGAGCTCTGCACAGTCCAGCTGGCTGGCTCTGCTCACCAGAGGTCTAATGCCAAGTTCGTTGGTGCTGCTCCATTTGGTGCCGTGGGACTGGGCTGCTCTCCAGGCCCCCGGGGGCTTACCAATGCACCAGGGGCTGTCTTTACCCGCAGTGCCTCTGTGGTCCTTACAAAGCCCTGGGTGGGGAGGAGACCTGGGATTGAGTCCCAGCCTGACTGACCATGCCTCAGTTTCCCTGTCTTACCCACCTTTGGGAAGAGCTAAGCCTAGAAGCGGCTGTGTAATCTGTAGGGTGACGAAGAAAACTCTGGCTGGTTTGTTTCTTAGCTGGGCCTCTCACCTTTCACTTGCGTAGCTGGAGGGCAACTAGGTGTCCCGTTTTGGCCAGGACAGTTCCCTTCTTTAAGCTCTGTCCTGACTTCTGCAAAACGGGGCATTTGTCCCATTAGGGCTTGTCACCTGCAACTGGGGCAGGTGCCTGCTTTGTGCAAAAAGCTGAGTGTGCTGTGGGGGTCTTCAGGTCCCCTTTGTCTTTCAAGTGTGCCAGCCCTATCTCTTGGGTGGCTGGGTGTGGCTGTTTCTGGGGGGTGGGGCTTGGGCCCTTGACCTCTGGCTCTGGAGGCAGGTACCTTAACTGATGCACTGCTGGAGGGTGGGTTGCTCATCCCATTCTTCCTGTGTCCCAGGGGTGCTGGGTCTATCTGTTGCCAAGCTAGTGCTGGCTATCTCTGGTGGGGCAGGGCTTGATCCCTGAACCTCTGGCTCTGCAGGTGGGTACCTTATCCACTGGAGGAGCCCCCCAACCTCCCTACCTTCAGGGCCCCTCTTATCCATCCTGTGTTCCCAGGGTGCGAGGTCCATCCCTCGGGAACCTGGGAGTGGCTGTCCTGGGGAGGTGAGGCCCCCTTCGAAGCAGCAGGACAGCTGACACCCAGGCTGCCCCGGCAGGATAAGGGATGCCCTAAAGGTAAGGTGATGGATATCCACTGGAGGAGCCCCCCAACCTCCCTACCTTCAGGGCCCCTCTTATCCATCCTGTGTTCCCAGGGTGCGAGGTCCATCCCTCGGGAACCTGGGAGTGGCTGTCCTGGGGAGGTGAGGCCCCCTTCGAAGCAGCAGGACAGCTGACACCCAGGCTGCCCCGGCAGGATAAGGGATGCCCTAAAGGTAAGGTGATGGAGTGGGTTCTCCTGTGCATCAGTGGATAGGGCACTTGCCTGGGAAGGGAAAAGTGGTGGGTTCCAGCCCCCCCCCCACCCGCAGCCGCAACAGAAAAAGACAGCA